AAAAAAAACAAAAAGAAAAATACAACATGACATAATACAAGCTTGAAATTTTTTAAAAATCCAACAAACACGTAGGCACCAATGCAAAACAAGTTTTACAACAAGACAACCAATGAAAACAAACTTTTTCCTTTGGGAAAATGGAACTCCAAATACATAATTCCAACCCACCATAGAACAACAACGGACTTTGAAATTTAAATGACATTGAAAACTATTTTATTAAAAATTATCAATCATCATTAACCATCAGATTGTGCAACCCCCCCCCCCCCCCCCCCCCGGCTCACGTTAAAAAAATAGTCTATTACTCATTTATAACATCAATATGTGATAAAATTGCATATTATTTATAATTTATTATACAATTATGGAAAACTTAGCGAAAATTTAATAAGAATATTTAATTTAGTATCTTTATGAATTAATTTGCTTTTCTCTACTTAAAGAGTTAAATCATGGCCCTTGTAGACTAGGAGCCGAAGAGTCATGGCTATCGGAGAGTGGACAGAAGTCCGGCAAAGAAGAAGAAGACACCAGGAAGATCATAACTTAACCAAGAGCATGGCAACATCATTCTTTTTCCAAAACTTTCCTGAAGATTGGGACGAGAAGGCTCTGTGGCAAACATTCCAAAGGTACGGAACAATAGTGGATCTCTACCTAGCCAGGAAGAGGAATATCAAGAACAAGAGGTTTGGTTTCGTTAGATTCATTAGAATAGAGAATATCTCAGAATTTGAAAGAAAACTAAACGGAATCTGGATAGGAAACTACAAGCTAAGAGTCAATTTAGCTAGATTCCAACGTAAAAGCACAGCAAACCTCCGCTCTACTATGCCCCCCAACGGTCACGGTCAAACTAAGCAACCCTATGGCTACCCCCATCTTCACTCATTCCAACCCAATAATCAAGATGCACAGAAGTGTACCAAAAGCTATGCAGAGGTGGTTGCAGGAGATAAACTGCCAAAAGAAACTACAAATCCAACCCCAATCAGGATGACATCCTTTGAGGAAACGAGAGAATTCATGAAACGGGCACTAGTTGGCAAAGTGGAAAATTTCCAAGCTCTAATGAATGTGAGAGCTTTTCCGGAGGTTGAAGAATGCCCTACTGTAGTAATGAGATATTTGGGAGGATTAAAAATGCTCGTGGAATTCGAAAGTGAAGCTGCAAAGTCCAAGTTCTTAGTGGACGGAAGGCAAATCTGGAAACCTTGGTTCAAGACGATGTATAATTGGAACCCAAAAGAAAATTTTAACGTAAGAATAGCTTCCATAATGATTTTCGGAGTCCCTCAACATGCATGGTGTGAGGAAGCTTTCTCGGTCATTGCAAGAAAATGGGGCACTGTAATAATACCGGAGGAATGTGCAACTGATAATCCAAGTATGGTGTTTGGTCGGGTAGGGATCCTAACATCGCACCCAAATCTAATCAACCAGTCAATAACTATCTCGGTGGATGAATCTCCTTTCTCCATAACAGTTTTGGAAGACCTCCTTGAGTCTACAAGGCTAAGTCCGGTGGTTGCTAGCAATGAGTTCGCCCTCAGTCCTAACTCAAGCCCTAAGTGGTTCGAGAACCCGTATTGGGAGGACCTCCATGAGTCGAGCGTCGAAGACATCGCAGAAGAAGGAGAAATCAATAGCTCTGATGACGAAGACTTCGTCTGCTCCCCAGTTCAGGATACTAACAATAGGTTCCTCTCAAAGTCGCCGGTGATACACTCTCGGGAAGATAAAGAAAAGTCTCCGGTGAACAATAACTGCTCTCACAACTCCCAAGGTTCTCCGCGTAATCCAAGAAGCCCGGATGCGGCTAGAGAGGAAAACAAGGAGCCGCTTGATCACATGGGGAATTTCTCTCCTCAGTCGCTCCAAAATTCGGGTTCGCTCCAAAATAATACAACAATTGGAAAAGAAGCCCAATCCAAGTCTCCTAATGGCCCAACTCAAGAAGGATCCACATCCTTAATTAGCCCAAGACAAAAATCGCCAGTAAAAATGTAATCAGATAGATTTAAACTCAGATCCCGTATCCTCTGATAACGTAATCCCTCTTTTATCCCAAAATCAACATGATTCCCAAAACACTCATCAGGTCGGGATCGAGAAATCAAACACCGAGGACGAAGTGTCACAGACAATTGAAATCGGAGAAAGGATTGGTTTTCAAGTGCAAGGGTTCGAAGACCAGATCAAGGAAATTATCAAGACAAGGCGAATCACAATCATTGATCAATGAATATAGTTTCGTTAAACTGCAGAGGGGTTGGTTGTGAGGTAAAACGAGATTGGATCAAGAATATTAGGAGAGACAATAAAGTTTTTCTCTTAGGTCTACAGGAAACAAAATTAGTGGAGATTAAAGGGTGTCTTGACAGATCCATATGGGGTGATTCCAACTTTCAATGTGAAGTTTCTGATCCTGTTGGTCTCTCGGGTGGTATCGCAACAATTTGGAACCCCAATCAATTCAAATTATCTGAGGCTATCTTCGGATATGGCTATCTGTTAACCAAAGGGGAATGGATCCCATCCAAAACAGAATACTCTTTCGTAAACGTGTATGCCCCAAACGACCCTGGTCGTAGGAAACTCTTATGGGCTGAGTTAGAAAATATCCTGAACGCACATAGCAATTCCAGGTGGGTGATTTTTGGCGATTTCAACGAAGTTCGCTCAGAATGTGAAAGGCTAGGTTCAAGTTTCTGCATTTCATCAGCAAATCACTTCAACAACTTTATCTCAAATGCAGGTCTGATTGACCTCCAAATGGGGGGTAGGCGTTTCACATACATGAGCTCCGATGGCGGTAAACATAGTAAGCTGGACCGGTTCTTAGTCTCCTACAATACCATCTACGAGTGGCCCCATCTGCAGGTCACCGTACTCCCCCGCCTCTATTCCGATCACTGCCCAATCCTGCTCTCTTCACCAATATGTGACTATGGCCCGCCCCCATTCCGTTTTTTCAACTCATGGCTTCAAGATGAATCTCTTGATAAGGTTGTAGTTGTAGGTTGGACTTTCGAACCTTCAATAAGATTTTTCGCATCTCTCTCCCCTATATCTGTTGTTGCTGGTAAATTGAAGAACACAAAGGGCAAAATAAAAGATTGGAGGAAATCAAAAAATGTAGAGGCCAACATGAAGCGTCAGGATCTTATAGAAAAAATAAATAAAATCGATTTAGAGGCAGAAGGTGGTGTGGCTAATCCAAATTTGATGGAGCTAAGAAAGCACCTTCATAAAGAATTGTTGGAAATTGAATCCAAGAGGATCAGCGACCTCAAGCAAAAGGCGAGATGTAAATGGGCCCTGGAAGGAGATGAAAATTCAGGTTTTTTTTCATGGTCTAGTAAATAAAAACCTGCGATCACAACGCATTCCTGACATCAATATAAATGGATTCTGGAAATCAAACCCGGTGGAAGTGAAAGAAGAGGCTATCAAACACTTTTCTGCAAAATTTAAAGAATCAAAGCCATGCAGACCCTCCTTTACGAGTCTTAAATTTAAAAAATTGCCGCCAGAGAATAGTTTGGAACTTGAAGCCCCAATTAGTTTTGCGGAAGTTCGATCTGCTGTGTGGATGTGTGGGTCAGATAAATCCCCTGGCCCTGATGGATTTTAATTCGCATTTTTAAAGAAATATTGGGAAGTAATTGGTGGAGACATATACATGGCGGTAAAAGACCTTGAAAGATCAGGAACCATCAACAAAGGCTGCAATTCCTCATTCATCACACTAGTCCCAAAAACTACTGATCCCAACACCTTCGATGACTACCGTCCAATAAGTCTCTTAGGGAGCCTGTATAAAATCATCGCCAAAGTTCTAGCAGAATGTCTGAAGAAGGCTATCCCTTTAGTCATTAGCGATACTCAAACAGCCTTCATCAAAGATCGCTATATCCTTGATGGGCCTTTGATTGTTAATGAAGTTATATCTTGGCTCCGGAAAAACAAGGCTAAGGCTTTCCTTCTTAAAATCGACTTTGAAAAGGCATTTGATTGCCTTAACTGGGGCTTCCTAGATTCGGTAATGGCACAAATGGAATTTGGGGGTAAATGGAGAAGCTGGATTCAGGGTTGTTTATCTTCAGCTAGAGCTTCAGTAATTATAAACGGTTCAGCAACCAAGGAATTCAATATGGAAAGGGGAATCCCCCAGGGAGACCCGCTATCTCCCTTCCTCTTTATCTTGGCCGCTGAAGGTTTAAACGTTGCCATGGAAGAAGCTGTAGATCACAGGATATTCAAAGGTATTTCTCTCCCAAGATCGGGTCCAGTCCTGTCCCATCTACAATATGCAGACGACGTGATTTTCCTAGGGGCTTGGTCCATTTCAAATGCTAAGAACCTAATTAGAATTTTACGTTGTTTTGAATTATCTTCCGGTCTTAAAATTAATATGTCGAAGAGCAAAATTCATGGGATTGGGGTCAACAACCTCGAAATTGTATTACTAGCCAGGAGTATATATTGCTCGGTTGGGAGCTTTCCCTTCTCATACTTGGGAATGCCGGTGGGGGCTGCAATGTCTCGAGTATCACAGTGGAGTTCTATCTTAAACAAATTTCAATCTAGATTGTCAAAATGGAAAGCTTCATCTCTCTCTTTCGGTGGAAGGTTAACGCTATGTAAAGCCGTTCTTGGTAGTCTTGGAACATATTTGTTCTCCCTATATAAAGCCCCTGTAAAGATCATTGGTACATTGGAAAGTTATAGAAGAAGGTTCTTTTGGGGAGGTTCAACCGACAAAAACAAAATGTCATGGATTGCATGGGATAAGGTCTTGGCTAGTGCTGTCGATGGGGGTCTTGGGGTCGGGAGCTTGAAAGCCCAAAACCTCGCTCTATTAGGGAAATGGTGGTGGCGGTTCAAGTCAAACAATAATAACAGAAATATATGGAAAAGAGGGGGGCTTCAATGCTCCATCAAGGGCAAGGAGAAAAGGTTTTTGCTCGGGCACCATTGTAAATCTGCATTCCGACCTATCAAAACTCGGTATTGACCTTAAAAATCTGTTCTCGATCCAAAGTGAAGGCAGGTTCTGGAAGCTGGGGTTCTCAGGAATATTCACAGTAGCCTCTCTGAGAACACATATAGATAACAATATCCTGCCAAAATCAAGCAACTGTTGGATCTGGAACCACTTGGTTCCCCGAAAAGTAAACATTTTAGCTTGGAGAGTTAATCACGGTAGATTACCAACCAAAGAGAATTTGTTTAATTTAGGAATCGGTTCCAACCCTCTTTGCACCCTATGCAATCAGCATGCCGAATCCGAGAGTCATCTATTCACTACTTGCGCAGTTTCATTAAAAGTATGGAGTGAAGTTGCAACTTGGTGGCATCGGTTTCCACCAGGTTTCCAGTCGGTTAAAGATCTTCTCCACTGCAAAGCAAATGTTCAATCTAATGGCGATTTCGGTTTAATTCATGAAGCTGTGGCTTTGGTCTTTATCTGGGTTATTTGGAGCTTTAGAAACAAAATGGCTTATTCAGACAAGCACATCTCTCCTTCCTGTCTCATAAACGATATCCAGACCTTATCGTATTTATGGATAAAAGTTAGACATAAATCTAAGAAGCTTAGATGGTTAGAATGGTGCTGTAACCCAATCCAAGAAGCTGGCCTGAATTAAAATTCAAATGGGGGGGGGGGGGGGGGATGGTTGGGCTCCTGTTCATTCCTTTGGTGTCTTGGTGTATGCCAGGGTGTAGTTTAAGTGTGTGTTTGGTGTGCGTTTTCTTTTTCCTTTTTCCGGGTAGATATCTTATAGGCTTAAAACTATGCCTGGCATTTCTTTCGTGTATTCTTTCTAGTGTGGGTTAATTTAAAATGGGATGTGGGGGTAAGTTGTTATTTGGTGTGTGTTTATCTCTATTCGTGTTTGACTCCTTGTTCCTTTCAACTTACACTTATGTTTTAGCAGTAGTCGCACTCCATATTGCAAGTCATCTTAATTGCTCTCATTGGAGTTGGAGTAATCTCATGTAGGAGATGAGGTTACCTTATTTGCACCTGGAAGATAGTCAAGGAACAAATTGTCCAAAAGAACCTTGTCTCTTGGAGGGGTATTTTTGCTTTGGAAAAAGGTAGCCGATGTCTCAAGCTTCCTAGGCGTAGACTCTGGGCGTAATTCAAGTTTTGATTTACAATGTAACTTCCTAGTTTCAGCTTTAAATTAGTATAGGCTGTCTTATCTGTATCTATGTTCTATTTACTTAACATTTTGTACTGTACTGCCAGTTCCTGCTGGTTCTAATGAATATATACATTATCCTTGCCGTTCAAAAAAAAAATAAAAAATCATGGCCCTTGTAACTTGTAAGCAATTGTTTTATTAAAAGAGATATGCGTGTATGAATCGTTTAAAAGCAAGCTGAGGTGCACGTGGGTGCAAGTTTGCTATATACCACTACAATCACAACCGGGAAGAGGGCCAATTCCACCGTCGGTATCTATATTCGCCGCCACAAAACGCCGTTTCCTCGCCGGAAACCGGCCGCATGTTTGTTTCCCCCACTTCATCTCCTTTATCGTTATTTCCCTCTTATTTATCTGGTTACTTACAATAAAATACACACAAACCTACATATTAATTATACACTCACTCGCGCAAATGGTTAAGTAGAAATTGGGTGAATTATCAATCAATCGATCTGTTCGAGATGGGCGACTCCACTGCCAGGGATGGCGGTGATAATAGCTTGTCGGAGAGAAACGTCGCTGAAGAAGTTTCTAGGCTTGTGGAACAAAGTAAAGAGTTGCAGGAATCAGCGTCGACCTTAATTTCTAGAAATTCACAGGAGGAATCATCGCTACGCCAACGAGCCCTAGCTCTCGATTCAAATATCAAAATGTTAAGAACGTTCATTGGTTCCTCCGTCAAGAAAGGCAATTTAGATTCCAAACATGCAGAAAAAGTAAGCCCACTCAGATTTCAATTTACATGCGCATTTTATTTGTATCAATTTAGGGTAGCAAATAATACATATGTATCAATGTCGAAAATTCAAGTTATCATTGTATAAACAGCGCTTCTTCCATGATCATATAATCATAAAAACCGACGGCTTGCTGGTATCTGTTTCGTTTTTGTGTTTAATGTTCTGATTTTTTCAATTGGGCATTTACAGTTAGCTGAAGAGCTGAGTAGAGCAAGTTTTACATTGGGTGAAGGAGATGCAGCTACATTTCTTCCCTGCAAATCACATGGTACGTTGCTTTTATTAGTTAAAACAAGCTGAGCTTTTTCGCTTCTGGCCTTTTGTGTGTAATAAGTTTTTCCTCCAAACTCTCAGTTTGTTGATTGGGTTACAGGAAGATTTTTGAGGATGCTTCTTGGTCCAATAAATGTTCGTGCTAACAGACAAGATGTTCAATTGAAAGTGAAAGAAGAATACTATAGTTTCAGAGTAAGAAATTCTCTTCCCCTAATTAGATATTGTAGGTATTTCTAGTGTTCTAGTTATTGCTCATAAGCATCATCCTTTTTTTTGTTTGGTTTAATCTTTACACTTATATGATTTTCCATTGAATTATGGGCAGGATAGAACTGCATATCTGTTTCTCTTTTTTCCTTCATTGCTACTGGTGTTAAGGTCATGTCTTTGGGATGGATGTTTCCCTGCTTTACCTGTTCAGATTTACCAGGTACACTTTTATCTCTTCATCCATAATTTTATATTTTGTCAGTGGAAAAGACATTAATGCCCTCTTCATTGAAAATAGCCCTAAAAACGTTACTAAAACATAATGATTATGCCCTTTTCAGGCATGGTTGCTGTTTCTATACACAGGGTTAGCTTTAAGAGAAAATATTTTGAGAGTTAATGGAAGCGATATACGTCCATGGTAATGTTCTATTGTGTGGTTTGAATTTATTATTTATATAATCTAATGAAGTTTTTCAATGCATTATGAATATATAAATGATACGATGTGTAGGTGGATATATCATCACTATTTTGCTATGGCCATGGCACTCATCAGCCTCACTTGGGAGATAGAAAGGCAACCTGATTGTGCCCAAAAGCAGGTTAAAATCTTGTTTTTATACATTTTTGGTAGGAGGACAAAATCGTCATTTGTGTATTCAACATGTTTTGCAGAAAGGTATACAATTGTTTCTGAGATGGGCAATCATGCAAGGTGTAGCAATGCTTCTACAAAACAGATACCAAAGACAGAGACTCTACACACGCATTGCACTTGGGAAGGTGGTGTTATTAAAATAAAAATTTGAGAATATCTATAATTTTTTTTTTATTAAATAAAAATCAATCTAAGTATTTGTTGTGATTGTAGGCTAGAAGAATGGACGTTGTGTGGGGGGAAACTGCTGGAGTAAAAGGTCAATTATGGATATTATTGCCCATACTCTTTGTCTTGCAGGTGATTTATTATTTATTTCCTAATTAATTCTATTTTAATAATGTGGAAATTTAATTATTATTATTTGTGATTACAGGCTTTTGAAGCATATGTAGGTGTGCTATTGCTAAAAACAGCAGTCGTAGGTGTCATTTCTGAATGGCAGGTAAGAATACCTGATTTACATTTCACATGATGCTTTTAAGCAGTACTGAGTGTGGGCCAGCTCAGTTCAGGGGTTGATGGAAGAATAACCTTTTTGCAGAAGCCTGAGAGATTCTTTTTTTTTTTTTTGGGCAGGTTGTTACGTGTGGGATTCTGCTGATAATTATGGCTGTTGGGAATTTTGCAAATACAGTTCAGACTCTTGTACTGAAATCTCGGTTTAAAGCAAAAATGAAGAAAGGTAAAAGTAGGAGTGACTTAACAACATCCACATCCAAGGATGACTGAATGATTCAGAAGAAGAAGATGGTATCAATAAACGGAATGAGGACTCTTTGACAAGTTCCTAAACTATCTGATACTCGGTTTTATTTGGAAATGTGGACTCTTTGGATTTCATAAATGATTAGGTTAGAGCCAGTTTGTTATAGTTTGTACTCAAATTAATAAAACATCTGGTTTGTTTGCACTTCTTATTGCATGTTGCATGCTTTGGCGAATGTACTTTCTTCTTTTTTGTTTATTATATTTATTTTTTCGTTTATATCACTGTATTTGTTATGGTTAACCTTTTTGTGCTTTGAAAAATCTACCAAGTTGTTGTACTATACTTTTGGGCTGCACTTGATTCTCCCCCAATGCCCATTAATTGCAAGCTCCCTTGTTGGAGACAAATCATTAAATGATGCTGAAATCCCTTCTCACTTGCCTCATAAGCTCATGATAGCTTGCCCCTTTGAAGCTAATCAACCATGGCTTTTGAATAGGGGTGGTAATTGGGCCAGGTTGGTGGTTTAGAATAAATCAACCCAACACAACCTATATATGTATTCAAGTTGGCGGGTTGGAAATATCAACCTGTACATAACCCACATCACCCGTTTAATTATACATGTTTGTAGGTTGACAGACCAATTTTGGGTAAGAATGCATAACTTTAAAGAAATGAATCGGGATCAAACATACTGATTGAAGGTGGTAAAATTCACCAGCGATGGTGGGTTGTTGAACGAGGAAGGGAGAGAGACATCCAATGACAACATTATGACGACGGCGTCAAGTATCTGATGAGATGAAGGGGTGAGCCGGGGAGAATGCAACGAAACGAACTGTGAGCTACAAAAGATGTTACTGATTTGAAATTCTCAATTCTAACCTTCTAGTTCTAGGGCGTGCTCCAAGCAAATACCAATTAATCATTAAATATATATTTTTTTAAATCCTATATATTTGGCAGGTTGACCCGTAAACCTAAACACATAACCTACCTATGAAATAGACGGGTTAATGGGTTGAGATATGTGGACAATACATTTTAATTGCGTACTATCTGATACTTTAGTTGTCATGCAATATCGAGCTGCTTTGTTGGATAATGTGAACATCTATTACATGAAAGAAATTGAAGGAAATCGCAATGGGCTTGAGTATTTTTACCCATATAGGGAATATACTTTAGTTTTTACATGTAATAGCAACTCCTTACCTATTATGGCAATGCACTTTCATTTTCTTACAATTAATAGCAATGAACTTGGTTGCTCTGTTTAAGGGAAAAGTAGTTGGAGGAACTGGTGAACATGTTCTTAAAATTTTAATCTTTTGATGGAAATACCCTTTGCTTTTGGTTTAAAATGATGAATACGCCCTTCTTTTTTAAGGTCTCATCCCTTAATAATTTAAGAGGTCTGCACCAAAATTTCAAGCTAAAACATTCAAGTCAATTCCTTTTGCACACCTAATTAGTGGCACTTTTGCATAATAAAAAAAAAAAAAAATCAAATGTCTATTTTATGGAAAAAAATTAATAGAACTAAACATAAATAACTCAAAGCTTATAAGTTTTCTTACATGACAGTTTAAAAATAAGAAACCACCTTCATTTCCTTGATCTCAATCACCATATTAAATTTTAAATATTAGAACCATCCACCCAATGATTATCTCTTTTGCTATTTTTATATAATGTTTACTTATTCTTTATTTCAATTGTATTCTATTCAAACTTATATTTTATTGTACACAATCATGGTTTTATCAGATATCTGAACACAAGCTTATAGGTAAAACTTCTATCTTTGTAAATTTGTATTTTATTTATTTTTATTTATTTATTTATTTTTGCAAATCTTTGATTAGTTATTATAAATTAAATCTATCAATAATGGTTTCCTTTTGTTAAATCTGATTTTCTGCATATTTTTTTTTTTTTTTTTCAAAATCCCATTACACACTATGACATACTCAAATTTTATAATTCTTTTTTCCAAACCACATACTCAAAATTTATAATTCTTTTTACCGAACTGTCATTTCATATTTATTATCAACGTACATAGATATAAGAAAGTAGTGCGTTTTTTTTCTTTAAATATAAAGTCCTTTTTATAACATCTAACTTTAAAAGTCATCCAACCGTAACATTCTTTTTTTTTTTCTTTAAATATAAAGTCCTTTTTACCATCTACAAAAGGGTTTGATATTTCAAAGTGTCATGAGTACAAATCGCAGGAAAGGTATGGGCATCTTAGCAACGCAAGCATGGAAACACTACAATGAAAGGGAATGGTAGAAGGTTTGCCAAAGTTCAAGGTTGAGAAGGGAATTTGCACTGAATGTCTTGGTGGAAAGCAACATATAAATTGTTTTTTTTTTACAGGGATCTTGGAACTCAAAAAAATTATTTTTTATAATTAATAAAATAAATTAACATGATAAAAAAAAAATTATATATTATAGAATTTATAAATTCATAAACAAATTAAACAAGCCGATTTAGTCGCCCGTACTCCAATTTTGGGCGTGTTTGGCACGGAGCTTTTGGAAGCGTTTGAGAGCTTCTAGCTTTTAGCTTTTGACAAAACGCTCTAGTTTAAACAAAAAGCTTCGTTTGGCAGTACGAGCGTTTAGCTTTTAGTTTTAACAAAACGCTCCGATTCTAAAAGCTACTTCATGTAGCTTTTAACAAAACGCTCCGGAGCTTTTGAAATCAATTTCCATAATTACCCTTAAAAATATATTTATATATTTTTTTATTTTTAATAAATTGTCCTTTTATGTAATTTTATATATTTCAAAAGCTTCCAGCTACTTTTACCAAACATTAATATAACAAATAAAACTACAACTTCCCGCTACCAGCTACACACTATCAACTACCCACTACCAGCTAACCGCTACCCGCTTCCAGCTATTTTGACAAACACACCCTTTGACCGGTAACCAATAAATCTTGCCACCAACAGGAACTGAGGACCACTTCTACAGTATTACGTGTTGAATCTTCTTTATGGATTCAGATAATAACTTTACAAGATCACAGAAGCTACTGGACTTGTCTCAACGATTTCGTCAATCGAAGTCTGTTTCCCCAATTTCAGATGACCCCTCGATTGGTCAATCCAACCAATCCAAAAGATCCAAAAACCCCAACCGAGCTGCAGTTCTGATATGCCTGTTCGAGGAAGGAGACGATATCAATGTCATTCTAACTCAACGATCATCGAAACTTTCATCTTACTCTGGTAAAGAAAGTCGTGCACATTAGATGTTTGATTAAATGTCTGAAAGAACTTGACATGAGTCCGTTCTGCTTTATTTTGCAGGGCAAGTATCTTTGCCAGGAGGTAGAACAGACGAAGAGGATACAGATGATATTCGAACCGCATTGAGGGAAGCTGAGGAGGAAATTGGATTGAATCCAGCCCTTGTGGATGTTGTTACTGTTCTTGAACCTTTTGTAACCAAGGTATGTTGTCGTATTCTTGAACAAATTTTAAGCATCATTTATCTAGACAACTTTGATTATTCGAACTTTACAATTCGTCTTCAAGTTGAAACTTGTATATAAAATTGCTTAATTTGATAAAACGGAATTTTAGGGAAATGTTAGTGTGGTTCCAGTGATTGGAATATTATGGGATAAACAAGCATTCAATCCAATTCCAAATGCTGAAGAAGTAGAATCAATATTCTATGCTCCTTTGGAAATGTTTCTCAAGGTTCGTATTCATGCTTTTTTTTCCTCTCTTTAATCTTTCTTTCTGTATGAAAGTGAAAAAGAAACATGGGGTTATTTAAAAAAGTGGGATTTTCATGGATAATGATTCAGAATGAAAATAGAGGAGAAAAAGAGTGGGAATTAGGAGGACACAAATACTTGCTTCACTATTTCTATCACAAAACAAACGACAGCAGGGTGTATGAGATATGGGCTCTAACCGCCGGAATCTTGATAGCTGCCGCCTCCATAGTTTTCCGGCGACCACCTGAATTTCAGCAGAGGATGCCTAAATTCTGGAACAGAAACCACAGCAAATTCTAATGTTAGTGGAATGACACTCCAAAAATGAATAAACATGACATTAGTTGAATGTAAGTATACATTGATCATACGGACTAGAATCATTGTATCCAATGTATTGAAACATACAATGTCGTGAAAATTAAGTTGCAACTTTGTGTAGTTACCAAAGATTAAATTGTAAGTTTATTGTATCAAATTAAATTTTTATGTTTCGTATCTTTAAATGTCACACAATCTTCCAAAGCTGCTAAACTTTTTACACGAGATCTTAGCACCAAAGAATTATCCTATTCTTGATAAATTAAATACATCAATCATTAATATACCCTAGCAAGCATATGGAGTATCTTTGTACAAACATGCTTAGACAGAACCTTTTTAGCTTCCTGAATAATTAATGATCAAAGTAACATAAATCATAACCCGACACTTGAATAGAAAAAACCAATCTCCTTGAGCATTTTATCCAACACTTGCTCCACATTTCTAATTTGGCCACTTCTAGAGGGGGGTGGAACCAAAAAAAAAAAAGAACTATGAGATTATCTGGTAGACAACCATGTAAATACATCAATCATTAATATGAGTATCTCCTTCAACGTTTTCTTTTAATTGGTTTTCTTTTTGTAATGCTAAGGTTAAACGGGATTGGGATTGTTGCCCTGATTCCTGATTTCTTGTTCTGTTCTTGTTTTTATATATATACACTTCTAAAAAACAAAAAAATATACTTTTTAGAAATATAAATACGCATTTTTGATGTTTTTTAGAAGTATAAAAATATTTTTTTGAAGTACACATACTTATTTTTATATATTTAAAAGTATAGACTTATAGTATAAATATGTATTTTTATATTTATAGAATATTAGAAGTATAAATATTTTTTTTTTTTGCATACAAATATGTTTTTGATTGCTATACTTCTAAATACATAAAAATATGTATTTATGTTTTCAAAAACCATATTGATATTTTAAAAAAATTTAAAAATACATATTTATATTTCTAAAAAATTTATCTATACCATAAATTTATAATTGTACTTCTGAAAACGTATTTTACGTATTAAACCATATACATAGGCAAAAAAAATCATATGTACAGAAATAACATTTAAAAAGAATGTAAATATAATGTTTATGCAAGTTTTTTCGTACATGTTTTTTTTTTCCTGCATTAGTACTTATAATATGATAAAAAGAAATTGAGGTAAAAACATAAAAAAAAATATATATATAAATAATTTTATTATGAATTTTATTTAATAACCTTGAAAAACTGTATAATAGATAAAATTAACAAAAATAAATAAAACATAAAAAAATTTATTAAATTTTAGACAATGATAAGCATAAAAATGAATTTAAACATAAAGCCATGTATTTTTATAAACCCTTTTTCTTTTAAGGAAAATCTTATAAAAGCTCAATATTTTCATGAGAATCTTAAAAAACTACTATATTATTTATTTATTTGTACGTTAAAATCCTTATATTTTTTAAAATTATCATTTAAGACATTGAGTTCAGTAAATCATAGATAGTCATAAATACTAGGTAATTGATTTTCAATGATTGTTACAATTCATTAAATTAAAAAAAAAAAAAATTAAAAAATATAAACGTTTAAAAGCATTAAAAAAATAATATAATAATTTTTTAAATCTTTTCATGAAAATAGATTAGGTTTTTCTAAAATCAAAAACCTTAACTAAAATTTTCAGAAAATATAAAACTTTTACATGGTTTTTTTAAGTTAAAATACGTTAGGATCATTTTTCATTGTAACTTTGTCATTGTATTCCAACGTTGACCATTGGCCAAAAAAAACTTGCCACCGAACAGAACCAGAGGATCATTTTCACTATTTGGGTAGATCTTGTTCATGGATTCCAATAATTTTACAAGATCAAAGAAGCTATTGGAGTTGTCACAACGATTTCGTGAAACGAAGTCCGTTTTCAAACTTTCAGTTGACTCCTCAAGCAGTCAATCCAACCAATATGAAAGATTGAAAAAACCCAGCCGAGCTGCAGTTCTGATCTGCCTATTTGAGGAAGGAGATGATATATATGTTATTCTAACCCAACGATCGTCGAAGCTGACGTCTCATTCTGGTAAAGAAATTGGTGCACTTTAGGTGTTTGATGAAATGCCCGAATGAAATGAAGATCGTATTACTTTGTTTTTGCAGGGGAAGTGTCTTTGCCTGGAGGTAGAAGAGACGAAAACGATACCGATGATATTAGAACCGCGTTGAGAGAGGCTGAGGAGGAAATTGGATTGGATCCTGCCCTTGTTGATGTTGTAACTGTTCTTGAACCCTTTGGAAGCAAGGTAAAATTTTTATTCCAATATGAATTTCTTCGAAGCATTAAATTGACTATTTTGATTTATTAATGTCAGGGTAATGTTAGTGTGGTTCCAGTGATTGGAATATTATGGGATAAACAAGCATTCAATCCACTTCCAAATCCTGAAGAAGTAGAATCAATATTCTATGCTCCTTTGGAAATGTTCCTCAAGGTTTGTAATTCATTCCTTTTTCTATTTAAGTCAAAAAGTAGCAGTGATTTGATCTCGAAAATGGAATTTTGAATTTTGGTGATTCAGAATGAAAATAGACGAGAGAAGGAGATAGAACACAGGGGAGAGAAATTCTTGCATCACTATTTCTATCACAAAACGAATGACAGGGTGTATGTGATATGGGCGCTAACAGCCGGAATCTTGATAGATACAGCCTCCCTGGTTTTCCGGCAACCACCGGATTTTCAACCAAGGATGCCTAAATTTTGGAACAGAAACAACAACAAATTATAATATGGGTCCCCAATCGGTGTCAAAAGGAATATACATGTCAGTATTCATTGACATAATGATACAATGTTGTGAGGATAAAATTGTAACTTTGTACTAGTTATCAATGATTAAATTGTAACTTTATTGTATGAATAAATTTTTTGTCATTGGTATGTTTGTTAAGGGAGCTAATATTTCACTGTATTATTTTAGGGAATTTGACTGATTAAAATAATTAAGTATTTTAAATGTTCACATATGGATAATATTGTTTTTTTTTTTGTACTCATTTACCCAATTATCTGTTTTAGCCGGTAACATTGATTTAGTTCGGTTGAAAGCATTACGTGGAATCTTTCGTGGCCATTACACCCCTTTCTCATTTAATTAGGGTTCGTCATCGTCAACTGACACACCTCGATTACCTTCTTCTGTGAGAAATCAATTGATACATCAAATCGACGATTAGGGCTTGGAATTGAAGTCGATTGCTAGCATGGCATCCTCATCTACAGGTATATATGTATCTGTAGATTTTCATTACAATAGATTCTTTTCGCCAAACCCATTGGTGTACTTAGACCCGTAAAAACAAATGTACGTGATGTGGATTTTGAGGGATTTACGTATAAAGAGTTTCTTTTGTAGCTTATGAAATTAACCAATGGAGCCTGTGATAATGTTTACTACTGTATGAGAATGGAAAGCTTGTGTGAGGGTATTAGAAGAATCGACAGTGATGTTGATTATTGGGAGTTTGTGGAAACTGTTTATAGTCTGGAGAGTGATAGTCTTGAGAGTGAGTTAGATGTGTACATTGACCACCAAAATGAACCAATTCTTGATTGGGCTGATAACGAGTTCTTAGCAGATGGTGAAGGGTATGAGTCGGATGAGTTGGATGAAGAGGATGACAAGGATTCTGAAGTTTCAATGACAATGGAATATGAACATGAATGGGATGATGAAGAGGAACATACTTTTGATAAAACTGTTGGAGACCCATTCTTGGACAAACTTTCAGGGCATATTAGTGATGATGATGAAGAGGAAGCAAACAATGGGAAGCTTAAGGATGTTGTGTTCCCTGTCCATAATGAGAATCAAGAATGGGAGTAAATGGTGTCAGTTCTGGGAATGAAGTTTTCTAATCCATTGGAATTGAAGTTGTGTATCACCAACTATGCAGTAAAAAATGGATATGATTTATGGTATGAGAAAACTAATCATGAAAGGTTATTGGTAAAATGTTGTAAAGGTAAGACAAATAAACAGGGTAAAGGTTGTCCCTTTAGGTTGTGGGCAACCTGTATGAGCAATGAAAAATCATTCCAGATTAAATCTCTGAATGATATGCATAATTGTTCAAGAGTGTTCAAATTTGGGTCCATTGTTACCTATAAATGGATAGCAAAGCATTTCATGAATTATATACTTCAGAAACCAAAGATGAGTATAAGGAAGTTGAAAGCTAAAGCCAACAAGAAATTTAATTTGATTGCAAGTGTTGGTCAATGCAGACATGCAAGGAAGTATGCATTTCAGGAGATAGAGGGTACTTTGAAAGAGCATTATGCAAAAACATGGAGCTATGGAGAAGAGATAAGAATGACTAACCCTGGATCAACAGTGAAGATGGATGTAGATGTCATGCTTGATGGAACCACATATTTCTCAAAGTTTTAAGTATGTTTCAAGGGATTGAAGGATGGATGGATTGAAGGTTGTAGGAGGGTAATTAGACTAGATGGTTGCTTCCTAAAGGGCATATGTAGAGGTCAATTGCTCTCTGCTATAGGTAGAGATGCAAATAACCATATATATCCCATTGCTTGGGCTGTTGTATCAATGGAAAGTAAAGAAACATGGAAGTGGTTTATTGGCCTTCTAATTGAGGACCTTGGAATGGGAGTTGGGCATGGACTAACCTTGATATCAGACCAACACAAAGTAATCAATTTCTATTATTTCCATCTTTATTTTAGCTTATGTTATGTTTTTGTTGTTTAAGTTTTGTGTCTATTGCTAACAGGGATTACTTGAGGCTGTGAAGGAAAGGGTCCGAGCAGCAGATCATAGGCAATGTGCTAGGCACATACGTGCTAACTTCATAAAAAGGTTTAAGGGTCAACTGTTTAGAAATCTTTTCTGGTATGCTGCTGCAGCTACTACCCCTGCAAAATTTGAACAACACATGAATGAAATCAAGAAATTAGAGCCACTAGCTTATCACCATTTGATGGAAAGGGACCTTAAAACTTGGAGTAAGGCATTTTTTCAAACCGATAGGGCTTGTGATGCATATGAAAATGGTAAATCTGAGAGTTTCAACTCTGTGATTGAAGTTGCCATGAAGAGACCACTAATCACTATGTTAGAAGAAATTCGAATTTATGTGATGGAGAGGCTTTATAGACAGAAAATTAAGGGGGAATCTTGGGATTTAACCATATGTCCTACCATTAGGCTAAAGTTGTCCAAGCTTAAGGATCTTTAAAGGTAAGTGCTTAAAAATGTTTGTCCTTATATATGTTTGTCTTTTAACATGTGTATATGGACAGGTTTTGGAAAATAATATTATCTGGTTATCAACAGTATGAAGTCAAACTTGTGTATGATGCATATGTTGTGGATATTGGTAGCAGGACATGTGCCTGCAGAACTTGGAAGTTAACAGGTTACCCTTGTGTGCATAGGTATGCTTGCATTGCAAGCCTCAACAGGGATGTAGAAGAGTATGTGTCACCATGGCTTACCACATCAATGTACCTAAACTGTTACATGTATACCATTAACCCACTAAATGGTAGTGACATGTGGCCTCATGTAGACTACATCAGCCCATTGCCCCCGAAAAGGAGAAGGATACCAGGAAGACCATCAACAAAAAGGAAAAGGGATCAGATTGAGAGGGAAAACCAAGGAAAAAAGCATTCAATCACAAAAAGAGGTAGTGTGATGAAATGCAACATATGTAGGGAAAGTGGGCATAATAGAACAACCTGTCCTCAGAAACCAATTGGGGAATCATCAAATGCAAGTTCAAAGAAAAAGAAATCCAAGAAAGCTAGTATGTTTGATATATTTATTTATATATAACTTGTATAACTTAACATATTTGGCATAACTTAACTTTTCAAGTAATGAAAAACAGGTAAAGTGAAGGTTGTATTGGCACATGAAGTTGATATTGACAGTGACAGTGAAGTTGAAATAGAACCTGAAAGTGATGTTGACTCTTTTGATCTTGAATTTGAAGATGATGTGCAACCTGAAGTTGAAGATGGAGTAGAACCTGAAGTCCAATATTGTGACATCCCCAATTTCTCGGCCAGAAAAGACCGATTTGTTTATGCTTTGTTTTATAAATCAGAGTAATCGTTTAAAGAAAACGGTTGCGGAATTTGTTCCCAAAACAAGATATGATAAAAACTTATCAAAACATTTCTCAAAGAGAATGTATTTTCATTAAATAATAAAACCTCGGGATGTCATGTTCCGATACAGACACATAAGCATAAACAGAACATACATTCATTTACTCTAGTGATTTACATCTCCTTTAATCTCTCAGTGCAAAGCAGCTTCGTATCGATACCTGTGATAACAATTAAACTGAGTGGGTCAGGCTTGGGAGCCTGGTGAGCATATAGGGTTTTCAACCCACAATAATATAATTATTATATTCAATCATCAAACAATCAACCCAATTACCCATCCCCATTATATTCTTTTAATCTTCCCTAAAGATATTATCCTAAGGGTCATCTCCTAAATCATATTTACCGCTCATCTCCGTACATCTTATATCCTTATATGCTTGTTCCTAAGAACTTTTCCTAAGGATCATCGCCTACATTGCATAGACAATACTAATTCGGGGATCACTCCCTCAATATATGTCTAGTAAGGGTTAGGGTATCATCGCATGATTACGCAGCCACAACATCGACTGGACTCGTAAATCATAATAAGGGTTAGACTATCATCGCATGAATACGTAGCCACATCGCCTGGACTCGTAATTCATAGTAATGGTTAGTCTATCATCGCATGAATACGTAGCCACAACATTTCCTGGACTCCTAATTCATAGTAAGGGTTAGAGTATCATCGCATGAATACGTAGCCACAACATCGCCTGGACTCGTAATTCATCACCTACAGGTTATGAGACTGCTGGTGTTTCCACGGGGTCATCTAGAATAATCCGTGGTCGCCATCTATACTCTGGTAGATGACTACATCGCCAAATTGCCACATCGCCGGTCAAGGTTATGGTATCTCCTCTCATCTCACATCACCTATTTATCATCACCTATCTATCATCACCTATTTCTCATCACCTAATTATCATCACACATCATCTAATTCATCTACCCATGTTCTACCCAACATATTTGTAGATATAAGATACATATACATATTAACTCATTTAACACCTATATAAAACATCCATTCCACACTCATCTCAAATAAACAACAATATATAAACACATAGCACGTATTTCATAGCAAATACTTAATATTTATGTGTTAAAAGAAAGTGACCACACACTCACACGTATAAACAACAATATATATACACATAGCACGGATTTTATAAAATACTTCATATCTATGTGTAAGATGAAAGTGACTACACACTCACTTGATCAGAAGATGATCGGACAACACTACGACTTGAAGAAGTAGTATTCTTCGGTGAAACAGGGATCACTTCACACACCGGGTTTCTTGCGCGCAGAGCTTCGGCTCGGAAACTCTTTTCTTCTCGGGATCTTCAGGTTTCAGAACTTGCTTCGGGTCTCGGGGTTGATACCGGGGCTTCGGGGGTACTTCTTTGCACGTAAATCGAGGTAATATGGGTGAGAGATGAGAGAATGAGCAACCAAACTCGACTGGCCCTTCAAATCTATTTATAGGGCAAAACTGGCCCTTGCCACGTCGTGGAACTTTTTGCCATGTCGTGGGCTTGATCGTCACTGCATGCGTCATCCCAAGTTGCATCTGGGGGACTCCCATAGGTGTCAGGAGACTTGCCACGTCGTGGTCTCTGACAGTTTTGGGGTTTCGCGCCCCGAACTTCAGAAATTCATAACTTTCGCATACGAACTCCGTTTTCGATGTTTTTTATATCGACGCGAAGGTGAGATTATGCTCTACAACTCTCGTTTAGACTCCATTGGCTAATTTTGACTTTATTTTTAATATATTATAATTATATTACTTATATATTATTTTTAGTAGGCCGGGACAGGAAAACTCTGTTATAAACTCATAACTCCTTCATCTGAACTCCGTTTTCGTCTGTCTTTTTATCGTTGGACTAATATCGATGAGATATTAAATTCTCATTTAGATTGTTTTGGATAAATATCGCTCTAACATAAATTCACTATTTACGTCACGTTGTGTCGTGCCGGTTCTGTCGCGAAATTTCGACAGGTCATAACTTCTTCGTTATAACTCGGATTTTGGCGTTCTTTATATGCACGGAAAACTTGTGACATATACTAAAACTTGGTTAAGATTAATCCTTCTAAATAATCTTCCATAAAAAGTCATTTTTGATGCTTATCGTCTCTAAATTGACTAGCCCTAATCTACGGGCGTTACAAATATGGAGTGCAACATGAAGTTCAAGATGAAGTGCAAGCTGAAGTTGAACCTGAAATTCATCCTGGAGTTCATGATGCTAACTAAGTTGAAGTTCACCATGCAGTTCAAGCTGAAGTTGAACCTAAAGTACAAGTTCAAGTTGAAGATGCTAACCAAATTGTAGTTCAAGATCAAGTGGAAATACCAGCTTTTCAAGTTGTAGTGGGAAAGAGGGCAAGGAAACCTTCAGAAAGAATTACAAAACTGAAGATAAGAAAGATGTGGGAGGGAAAACAGGGAAGTAGTGATGACAATCCGTATGAGTTGGATTAACTTTTGGCTTATTGTACTGTTGTTAATGTTTTTGGCATCTTTGACTGATATCTTTTAACTTTGGAATCGTTTGGCACATCTTTTGAAAACTAGTTGGAATAGCTTAAATGCATGTTTAAGTGTGTAGTGTTTAACTTTTTGCACATCTTTTGGGTGTAATGAATGTTTAACTATGTTATGTAAAACTTTTGACACATCTTTTGAAGTCAATGTTCTCTGGAATGTTTATAATGTATTACCATCTTTTGCTCATCTTTTTAATACCATTTGTATTGTTTATAATTTGTTACCATCTTTTAGAATATTAACTGTAATCACAATTCCATTACATTGTTTGAACAATTCCATTCCAATGATTCACAATAACATTACAAGTTTTGTACATTACCATTCCAATGATTCAATTCCAATGATTCAATTCCATTACAATGTTTATTACTATCGTTTTTACTACCAAGTTTAATAACAATTCCATTACAATGTACATAATTTAGTCATACTACATCATAATACATAATTTAAAACAATTCCATTCCAATGATAGAATATAACATTTTTCATTGAAAACATCACAAAAGCATACATAATTTAGTCATACTACATCATAATACATAATTTAAAACAACATTTTGACATACAAGAGAAACAAGAAAATTAATGCAAGTCTATGGGTAAACAATTTCCAATTGACTTTGTCAAGTTTTTGTTTACTCCTGTTCTTCTCTTCTTCAATCTTCATCCTGCATATGTTGATTTCATTCTCCAAGGTACAAATTTTCAAGGTAAGATTGCAACTTTCTTCTGCTTTCATCCTGTAATGCCCTCTTCCATCTTTCCTCCCTTCATCCTCATCCAACCATTGCCAAAATTTACAGCTTGGACTTTTTCTATTTTTCAAGAAAGCTATAAAAATATGTTAAATTGAAGGATGAAGAAGAAGAAGTAAAGAAATATGAATTACCAGTGAGTTTTGACAAACTCTGAATTTCTTTCCAGGATTGTCTGGGGTTCTTGATGTCTTCACACGAGATGGCAAATAAAAATCACATGGATGATCCGGTTGCAATTCATCTTGTCGTTTGGAAGAAAAGGATGAGGAAGAAGATGCCATCGATCGATCTCGGGTTTTAATTAATAAGCAGTCGTATCTCACCCTTCTTATAATGTAAACACTTCTCAATGTCACGTAGGTGATAAGTATTACAGCGTACAAGCCACGTAGATGTCACATCACCCAAAACCTACAATAGCCAGTAAAGTTGGTTATTTGTGAACGATTGAAACAAGTTAGTTGGGTAAATGAGTACAAAAAAACAATATTACCCATATGTAAACATTGGAAATACTTAATTACCTTAATAAGTCAAATTCCCTATTATTTTATCCATCTGAAATTAAATTATTTTAACCTTTTTGCTCTTATTGACAATTTATAAAAATATGAGAAAGAAAAGTAGGTTATATGCTCTGCTTGTATCAACATTCACATGTATACTACCTCTCTTTGATCATCTTCTACATCCCAACCACAACCTTCTAAAAAACATAAAAATACAAGATCCAAATACAACCATACATTAAAACTTATATCAAAAACTTATTTTAATTTTTTAACGGTGCAGTTTATTGTCAGTTTATTATCTCACTCATTGTGCGATAATAACTAAGATATATTAAAACCATAATGAAAATGAATTTAATATTTTTTAAATTATTTTTAATTAAGACCTACTTTCTTCATAATTCATACAAAGAGTGGTTTCCATCATGTATGGTTTTCATCCCAAAATAGATATACTACCGACAAAATCTATACTATATTATAAAACATATTAGTTATATCTTGAATTTTAAAAGGTATAAGTTACAAATTTTTTTTATACAGATCAAATATACATAAAGAAATCATTAATATTTGCCAAAATTTTGAAGATGTAGATTAGGGAAGGTTATCAAAAAGTTCAATTGAAGTAAATGACAATTTTTAAACATTGAATTCATTTATATAAATTAATTTATATTTTATAAACTAGAGATCCTTAGTATAAACATACAGTATAAATAAAATGTTTAAACATAAATATTTTATTTAAAAACAATAATTTTTTTTATTCTTAATAATGAATAATAAAATCTAATTATTATTTTATCATAAGAATACTATACAAATAAAAAAAATTATCACCGCCACTTTGCAGAGACGTATAGTCCTAATTATCCAACAATTTCATTTTTGTTTGAAGCATTAATATGTAGCGGCAATAGGTGATTGAAGAACAAAATGCACCACATCAAAAGGATGACGCACGTGATGGAGGAAAGAACATAGAGCACTTGGTAGAAACATAAATATCAAAATCTCCAGATTGAAGGGTTATAATAAAATTAAAAGTTTGCATTTGGAGGAGACAAGAGCATAGAAAACCCAATTGTTATCCTATAAATCATTCCCCCTCTTCAACGATTACCCTGTTCAGATCATCATCATCAGATGAACTACGATAAAGCAACATTGATTCTTGAATGGCGACTAGGAATCAACGTTTCGTCTTTGGGAAGAAGCGTCCAAGGAAGAAATTGATCTTTCTCTCTCTTTTCTTATTTTGTAAAGGGTATTGCTAAATTGATACCCTTTAAACACCCTATAAATACTTTTATTAAAAATCAACCTATAATAAACTATTTACAATTTACTTTTTCAAAAAACAATGCAAATTTAACCAATAAAAAAACCTTAAAAATAAATAGGATGTTCAAATGGAAAATTGGGGTGTCTTTTTAACCATCCTTTTGTAAATTTAAAAGAACTACAAAAAGTAAAAGAACTTCGATTTCAAGTGGATTGATAAAAAATTGAAGTGAAAATATCACCTCCCATTTGTTAATGTGTATAAACTTAAAATCGTGTCCCACATAAGAGTTTTGTTGAAAAGTACACATTGCACTAATAAATTTCTTTGTGTAATATTTCTATGTCTATTTGTATGATTACCTTCCTATGTGTTTTTTAAAAAGTCATGATATCAAAATAATTTTCGATTTCGACCACCTCCTCCACTTCCATTCTCTCCAGCGTCGGCTACCTCCTCCACCGCCGTCCTCTCCATCGAATCTAATTTGGGGTTTTTGATCTCTTTGGACAATTTCTCGATTTTGCAAAGAAAAGTAAGGTCTTTGATTCGATTTAAGGTTTCTAATCTTAAGTTATTTATTTTCATTTGGGGTTTCTGATCTCAAGTTGTTTATTTCGATTTTTGGATCACAATTTTATAATTGCTCAACTAATTGAAGTCTTTGTATATATTCTTTATTTTGAACACTTTTGAGATAATCGTTGGTCTATCTCATATTGATTGCATTTTTCTTTCTCTAATTAATATGATCATATTTTCTTGGAATTGAGAGTATGATGAAAATTATATTTAATTGTTTGGTGTTTGTTGAATTGGAACTGTGTTAAGTAAATTCAATTGTCTTGGTCAAATAAGCTTATGTTTCGATTGGTTCTGAACGAAACGAAAGCAGTGAATTGAGGGTCAAAAGAATTATTGAATTGGTGGTCTTCTTATGAAAATTAAATTTGTGGTCTTCTTCTCAACCTGCTCTGTAATTAAAGTTGCTTGAGTGTTTGAATGATTCCTCTTCTCAAATGCTCCATGTTGGTCCATGTTTATCTCTAATAGAATATGCTTTTAGGTTTCTTTATCTCATCTGTTTTGGCCGACAAAGTGTAACATCCCAAAAATACGAGCCAAAAATTTCATTTTTAAAACACATACTTAGCAAAACATTAGAAATAAAACATTCAATGATCATATCATTTCATAAAAGATGTTCATGTCTGGAAACCAGTATATAAAAACATAACAATGTCAGAGTACAAATCCCCAGGAAGATCTCGTAGTGCGGAATACAAAGCATGTGTGTGATGTGCCACTACCACGCCAACTCCTTCCCCTTCGAAGAAGAGGTACCTGAAACCAAAACTGAAAACTGTAAGCACGAAGCTTAGTGAGTTCCCCCATCATACCACATACCATACAATCACATATCATACATACTGCCTGGCGATTCTAGGGTGCCCGACTTACCCGGTACGGCCTTTGTGGGGTACCGACCTACCCGTGTCAAGCCGTTCTAGGGTGATGACTACACGTGTCAAGCCATTCTAGGGTGCTGATTACCCATCGGCCCTAACAACCGATCCTCGGGGACTATTTCACCCCCTACTGCTACTATCACATATACCATAACATAGCATATTGTCAAACATAACTAGGGTGCCTGAACTACCCTTCGGTCCTATCAACCGAACTCGGGGACTGGTCCCCTCATACTGCCTCTATCGCATATAACATAACAAGCTAGCATGCAAACATAACATCACATACTGTCAGACGTATATGTGGTGTCTGACTACCCTTCGGTCCTGACAACCGAACCCTACTACTATCGCATACAACATATCATGCTAGCATCTAACATATCAGGTAATAGCAAACCTAGATGATATCACAAAGAAAATCATCTATCATACGTACTCCTACTGGTGGGCCGGCATTGTGGCCTTAGACCCACCGCTACTGGAAGGTAACTCACCTCGAAGTAGCTGCTGAAAGTTTGCTTGTTGAGCGCCTGATTGCTGAACCGGAACCCCCAGCTACAATTTCCATAAACATTAAGTCAGATACTGATAACTAATCTTGGGGTAAAATGACTATTTTACCACCCGGTCAAAGTTAACATCCCGGTCAAAGTCAACTTCATGGTTGACCGGACTCACCGAGTTGGCTCGCCAACTCGCCGAGTCCCTTCCATCTGTTCTAGTTCTACACCCGATCTACTCGTCAAGCTTAGCGAAGACTCGACGCGTTCTTCCTCGATGCATACATACTAAGTCCAAGTTCATCTGACTCGCCGAGTTGAAGAACAACTCGTCGAGTCTTAAGGCAATCTTCATCGGATTCGCCGAGTTGTTCATCCAACTCGCCGAGTCTAAG